GCTGGACACTCTTGCTTGACACTCTTTCTTGACACTCTTTGCTAGACACTCTATCTTGACCCTGTTTGCTAGACACTCTTGCTTGACACGTTTGCTGGGCACTCTTTGCCAGACACTCTTGCTTGACACGTTTGCTGGGCACTCTTGCTGGGCACTCTTTGCGAGGTGCGCAAAGTGCTGCGCTTGTCACGAAATCTTCACGCCGCGGTTCACAAAGCGCTGTGCCTGCCACGAATTCTGCAAAAGAGCCACGTCTCCAGAAGTCACAATTCACTGCACCTGTCACGAAATCAGAGCTCGTCGATGATCACCACCATGTCCAAAGTGCTGTTCCTGCCACGAAATCTGCAGTTCGAAGTAAAACCGCTCCGATCCCTTGGACCTGTCACGAAAAGTCGACTTTGCATCACCAAAACACGAGGTTCCCCTTACGCCTGCCACGAAATGTCCGAAAATGCCTGCGCAGCCGAAATGCACTTCGAGGATGTGGAGAGGCATGAATGCACTGCAAATAGCAGTGAATTAGCCGTTGACGTCGGCGCGCGCCAGCGATCTAAGCACAGCTGCTAAGACCCCACACAGTGGATGAATGAAAGAAGTATATGGGAAAAATGCATTGTTGTATATAAGTTGGGCCCCCCGAAAAATTGCACAATTTCAAGGGAGTCATCATGATATATAGAGCAACTTTAAATGTTGCACTATGCACAATGACCTAGAGATGACAAGCGCCATGCAGTGGATGAGTCTTGTTGATGTTTGGTTATTGCATCATTTGCATCACCGACAAACAGTCCTTTCAACAGTTTGGATCATTTCTCCGCATGTCCATTCCCAAACGCAAACGACACAACAACGCCCCTGAGCATCTTCGGCCCATGCGGATTTAGGAGGTGGGGCTGAGGTGGAGATAGTTCAAGTGGACAGCTGGGTGCGGTGGAATCTCGGGATGGCGCTAGAATGCGTGGATAAACCTTTCTCAACAAACATATTCCACGCAGAGTCCCCGTGAAGAAAGAAGCGGTGTGAGCTTTGTTTGTGACGTTTGAAGGAGTTCGGCTGGTTTGTGCACAGTTTCCTCTGGGAGATTTGCTCGCAGTCATCCGGTGCGGTTGGCCATGTAGGAACAGCGCTCAGTCTTTTGAACTTTGGAATCTCAGGCGCTTGCGTTGCTCAAGAAAGCATTGCAAATGCATGCGAACAGTTTGTGCTGACATTGATGGCGTTGCATGTTCATTGCATTGCGGCGTTGCACATGCTCGGCGTCAAGTTAACATGTTGCAAACGCACAACGTTGACA